TGTTTTCTACAGTTACTGAATTGCACTTTGATTAATTTTATACGATAGGTTTGTTTTTTATTTCTGTACTAAACTGTACAAGAACTCTCTTTTTCACTTTCAAATATACCTATCTCATATTAAGTTTCAAAGTATAGTTCAGCCATAGAAAGCAGATCTAATGACTGAGGCGAATCAATTTCATCGTTGCGTCATTGCAATCAAATGCGTTTTTTTTTTGTAAATATTCGGATTTTAATCTTCCAAGAAATTAACAAGATTAAAATTCGGATACAATGGATTATAAAAAATTATTGAATATACTTAGAAATAAAACAATTACAGATATTTTAAAGAATTGTCCCAAACATGACAATGTGTATGTAACGATATGTTTTTCATAAGATGTGTGATATTTTAAGATAAAAATATATTATACTCATACCTAAAAGTATACAGCAAATACTGCTTTCCTTTAAATTGTAATAGAGATGTTTGAATAGACAATTGTACAATTAGGCAATTGTGCAGTGAGCGTCAGTAATTATGTTTCATTAAATCCAAAGTTTTTATACAAAAAATGTGAACATATTTTTACATGTTCCTTTTTCTTTAACTACATATTTCCCCGCTTTGTCTTTTCAATTACAAATTTAGAATAGAAAAAACTCTTTAGAATAAAACTAACAATAATAGAACAATAAAACGTCAAAGTCCATTTTGGAGAACATTGAACGCGGCTCCCAATGCCCAACTTAATTCATGGCCATTGATCTTCTTATAAAGCTACAAGAATGAAGAATATTTTGTTATCCCTAAAAACACTGTCGTAAAATAAAAATAATATCATCATATTATGTAACTTTGCTTACATGCAGCTTAGTCGACGGTTCCAAGCCAAATCCATCTCTTAACAGAACATAAATAAATGTCAAATCCAAACACATGAATGGCTGATCTGTGTTTGGATAGTCGCACGTTTCCATGGCTTGTTTAAAAAATGAATTCAATTGCACCATTCCACCCGAAAATGGATCTATTAATGCTACCTAAAAAATCGAAAATACAAATATTATATTTATATTTGCAGATACAAATATTATATTTATATTAAAGAGCTATACTTTTTTATCTAACACATAAATTATAAACTATGACAAATATGAAAAATATGTACCTCTCATATTTATGAAGTTCGTTAATTTATATGTTAAGAGAGAGAAAAAAGTATAGCTCTTTAATATTAAATAAAAAATCTATTATCTCATTGGATACTCATATAATTATAAAATATTTCTAATTTTTTATTTTATTACATTCATATCTTATTTTATATTATTTATGTGTTGTATTCTCTTATATTATTAAATTATTTATAGATATAATAAAAAATGATTTTATTAAATATTTATGCATTAATGTATCAATATTTATTTGAACTTCATAACTTTTTGAATCTTTACCTCAGTCGCTCGTTCAAAGTAGTACGAAAAAGCGTATACTTCGTGATCCTTCAAACCTATTGGTTTTTCTGTGAGAGTACCAACATATTTCTCAATAATCTTTAAACATTCCGCAAAGCGTACTATGGGCTTATTCTCATCTCCGCCAGCAAAATTTTGTGTTTTAACTAGTTTGTATGTGCCATTTGTTGGACCTTTTACAATGTAATCGCGCCCTTGGTAAGACCATTCGGTAGATACGATCGGATTGATGCACTCGGAATGTATCTCTATGGGAACTTTGAGACTTGTATCCTCAAGATTCATATCATAAGTCAAAATCGCCTTTCTAGCGGCCATTAGACCCATGCCTAAGTAACTATGCGTGTACAGACTCATGTTGTGATTGAATACATTGATGGAGTAAACATGTTTTTCTAATTTTTTCGCCTGGACGCCGTCTGGTTGAAACGTAACTTGCGTAGAACCACCGCCGAGATCCAACGCGGCCACGGTAGTCTGAGAGCTGAGCGAGTTAAAGCGGTCCAGTAAGAAATTGACGGTAAACCAAGAAAAGATTCCCTCGTCTGTGCCTTCCATTACGGAGATAGAATTTCTTGCGATCTGGAATCCGGACGTTTGAAACAACTTTCTGCACTCCTCTAGTATGCCGTTGGCTTTATGCTCCGGCAATAACCTCAGCCCTGCTGTGGCCTTCATCGTCAGCAGCGTACGAGGCCATTCCGACTGTGGAATCACTGCCTTCGCATCGTTTAGAAGTGTAGTCAGAGACTTTGCAGCATCCTCCGGTTTGTCGGCAAACGAGCTCAAGCCAGGTTTTACTTCTTTGAATAGTTCATTATCGAGCACTAAATTGCCATTGAGAATGGACTCGTGAAAGCTAAACGCTAATACGCGGCTACCAGTAGATCCAGCGTCAATGACGACCACGTAGAATGGTTTTTGTAAATTAAATGAAAGTGCTAGAGTATCAATAGCCTTACTGCCTATTCTGATAGGTTTTAAGTCATTTGCTATGGCTATGTAACCTAGGAACAATGTACCAAGTACTAGTAACATGGTGAAGTATTTCTTTCCAGGTTGACTGGTGGTTTTCTTCTGGGAGGATGCCAATTCATTATCGCGCTCCTCTTCATTTTCAGTTCTCAGCTAAAAATACAAGACAATTATATATAATATTGCAAGAAATATCTAAATTTACAGCACATTGCATTTTAATCAATTAAAAGTGACAAGATTAAACGTGATGTAATATCATATTGTATTACATAACACTACATTGTATTTTGCTTTTGGTTGTCGACTGAGATGTTTGTATATATTGTATCACACGCAATACCCTTCCATAAATACTTTGAATAATAAAATATCTATTCAAGCAGGACACAAATCATCAACCTCAAAATGATAACTAAAAGTCACTTTTCAATCATTTATGATTCGTTTTGACGTTCGAGTATATATTGTTTTTAGGAAATTGCAGTATTTTAAAGAAACCATGTATTATGCAAATCACGTTACAACAAATTCAGAATAGTTACAAATGTATGTACTAATGTAACATTTCCTTCCATCTTTAATTATGAATTTTTGGGATTTCTTTTCTACCAAGAGTGATTTTGATTAAGCCTGACTAATTTAATTTAGCCTGAATTGCTCGCAGCAAAATTTTTATAATTATACAATTTATTTTTTCTTGATTTTCCTTCTACACATGTCAACAAAAAATAATTCTCTCATTAATAAAAGCACAAGTTCAGTTTGATAAGAATGACTTTGATCAAACTTCTTCCACTTCATTTTTATCAATTCAACCAACACAATTGTGATCACAATAAAATTTTCCTAACAAAGAATCAAAAGATAAATAAATATTGCCACTTTAATACAACTCATCATTTTTAATCTTTCCTTTTACGTTTGTTGAATAACAAAAAAAAAATCATCGTCCCATCCTCGTTAATAAGTACCACAGGTTTTACCCGGAACAACGCTAATCGTCAATCAAGAGTTTGCCAAGGTCACCCTGGGTCAATCATCGTTCGGGTTAATTTGTTGAGGCCATGACGCGGAGGAGATACAGACAATGTTAACCTAATCTGAGCACATCGCGACAAGCATAAGGAGGATGTATTTCACGTGAGGAGACTCTTTTTGCGTCGTTTCTACTCACGAGCGTGTATCGCATCTAGGGCGACCTGGGCGACCCGTACGATCCGTCAGATGACGAGTGCTTGTCATGTAAAAAAATAAATAAATAAAACACGGAGTGTTGAAGTTCGTGGGTATGCGACGGCCGGGTGGGGAAGCGCCGATGTAGCTATCGCGTGGTAGTGGCCCGTGCAGCCCTGCATCAACGTGCATCGTGCCCTCGGACTCGGACGCAATTGCCATTGCGCACTCGTCGCAGGTGCGTACATTTGGCGCTCACAGCGCTTATAAGTGTAATCTGTCCTTGTTTAACTTTTAAGTAGATAAGTAGCTCAGAATACTCCACACAAATTTTCTTTTCATTAATATTTTTTAACGTTCACAGTCAAATTTCACATTATATTGATATTTTTACGAGACAGAGGGGAATGCAAAAGTAATCAATGCCACTTCTAGGCGATTCTTTTTATTTTCCTTTTCTAGAACAAGGTTTTTAAAATAATTTATACGTAGAGTGATATAGCAACCTACTTAGTTAACATTTGATGAACAACAAAGATCGCTTAATTGTGATATAAGTTACGACACAAACGTCATTCTGTCTTAACGTTTCAGTGAGTAACAAAGATAGAGCGACACTTGGGTCACTCAATTTGTAATCAAATGGAAAGTACTGAAGAACGAAATAATTTCGAGAGCGCTGAATAGTAAATGGAGCGCAGCCCGGGGGGTATCAATGGGTGTCAAGGAACGATCACGTGACGAGGCGCGAGCCACACGGGACGTGAGAGGCCACGGATTCGAAATTCGAACTCTAATCTCGCGTGCGTTCGTATTTATATACACGCTCGCACACATGCACCGCGTTACGATTCACCGGGTACGTTCGGTTTTATCTACGATGCGCATGAGTGTATCATTTTATTCTTCTTTAATATTCCGATGAACAACAAGGATGGAATTATACATCGTGAGGGATCATGGGCGAAACACAGAACGCACTCACGGAAAACGTGGAAGGCATGGCGATGCACTTCCGCGTTCGACGCTCGTTCCGACGAACGGCGTAGATCAACACCGATAAATTCACTTACGCACCTTTCGACGTCTCACGCTCATGTTTTATTCGGCGAACGGCACGACGGTGACGACGATGACGACGGGATAAAAAGACGATTGATTCGGATAAAGAATCGGAAACCGTCACGCTAGACTCAGAGCGGTCATAGCACGGAAGCAGGCAGAGCAGACTGCCGGGAACGAAATGAGCGGCGTGCGGCTCACCGGCAGGCACCGAGTTTCACGTCCGTGAATACGAGACGCTTTGCCGGGGAGCAATTCGTTGCGTGCGCCGACGAGTCATTACGATATGACGCGAAGGACTCGATAATACCTCGACTGTCTCGAGATCCACTGCCGCAGTGTACGCCCTGGCAATTCGCGGATGATCGATGATTGCCGAGAGTACAAAGGTGATTTACAGAAGGAGCGAGCGAGTGAACGAAACGGTCGATAATCCGAAGTTTCAAGGCTCCCACTTCGAACGTTTGATAGACTGCGACAAATGTGCATGGCAAACTACCTAAAGATCACTATAAAGATCGAACGGCGATCGAAATAGAAGTAATTTTAGCGCCAAGCGTCAAAACAGTGAATGTTAAAATAGTAATTAGAAAGAGAGAGAAATAGCGCTGACTGAGTCGCGCTACGCGTGTTTGAGAAGATAATAAATACGTCACGTGGTTGGAAAAATCAGCAAAGATGAAAAGACGCTTTGTCACGGTCCGATGTTCTTTTATGCGATTTGTATAAAAAAAGAAAAAAAAAAAGATCAAACGCAATGAATTCGGCTCGACGATGACTCGAATTTCGTCTCTTTGCGTGCTGATGATCTCAATAATCACTTATCATGTTGTAAAGAACGCAAAAAAAATCTTATTTGTACTTATACAATTATGCAATACCGTTAGATAACGAACGCCCGACGACATGCTCGTTGCAATGAGTTGACGATTTGTCGCAGAATTTGTTAGTTTATTGATTGTTAATGTATCTGTAAATTTATTTAAATCTGTGAGGCATCGTGCGAGGCATTGATTGATGATCGCTGTAAGTAGATTTGTATGTATATATGTATATATGTATATATATATATTTTTTTTTTGTTGTGGCATAAATTGTGTATCTTGAAATGAGATGACAACATATGGACTTCTACATAGAAGTCTGTGGACTTTTTATGTAGAAAGTTACAAAAATGAGCAAATTCATCAATTATAAATATTCTAGTAAATTCGCTTATTTTTGTAATTTCCACCAAGTTGTGTGATAAAATAGTCAAACCCCTTCCAATAAACGAGAATAGATTGAAATCGATAAAATGAAAAAAAAATGTTTTTTTTTAATTACGCATTTACGAACAAACTGAATCCTTTTCATCCGAATGCATTTTTATTCATTTATAGAAATTAGACGAAGCACATTTCTATGTCTTTCAATCTAAAAATAATATCAGCTTTTCTGTGCCACGTCTCAATTCAAAATTCTGAATGGAAAATGCAGTTTTTCAATCCAATTGAATTCAATTGAATCCAATTAAATACAAAAAAGGCTTTATTATTTTGGATAAATAATTTTATTCCATTTTTAATTTATTCTTGTTTATTGAACTGTTTTCAAAATCTGATGTTTTCGAAGAACTGATTTTAGTGATTTAATCGGTCAAAAATTCGCACGTAATTCAGAAAGTCTTGCATTAATTTTATTGCTGTACTGCGTTTCATTATATTCGCTACAAGTATACTGAAAATGTGTAGTATATGTAACGTGAATAGATTTTTAGTATGCGTACAGTGAATAAGGAACACAATGCTAGAGATCGAGATGTGTATTTTGAAACGAGATAAAAATTACAAAAATAGCAAATCTACTACCGACAGATTAACCAATGAAATTATAGATACTCTTGTAATTTTGCTCATTTTTATAATTTTTACCTTTTCAAGGTACACAATCGATCCTCTGGACTGTAGAACTTTTGTTCTTGATTTGATGATAAACCTTATATACGACCTACAATGCGAGAAATCGTTCTGAAATCTTGGAGAAAAAATTAACAAATCACAATTGAACAATTGGGTTACTTGATCAATATGATTTCAATTCTTTTTCCGCGATCTCGAAGCATTGTGAATACAAGAGATCTATTTTTTTATAGTGACATACAAGAAAGCTTATCACCGTGAAATAACCGATTCAATTTCTTATAATAATAGCTAAACTTGAAGTATGTCTCATGGTTTTTATTGATGATTATGACCAATCTTTATGCAGTTGGTTCTTATATTTAATATCGTCATAAGTCTTAAGATGTCATAAACCAATCATAAAGTCGTATCAATATTTTAAGACTTATTAATTAATTAAGATAGCCTTGAAATAACAACAGACTTATTGGCTTAAATTTGTTTGGTAGAATTGTTGTTTTGTGTACACATGTGTTCTTACTCTAGAAAGATCTGCATATATTTCGTATATGTGCACAGATAAGATATGTCGTCGAAATATTTATGAAAGAGATAAAATGTATCGTTATAGTATAATATGCATTTATCGAAATAAAAAAATTTGTATATACATATATGTCTATGATATATATACATAAAATATTTATATATACGTATGTATACAGAGTGTTCAGTAGAAAAAAATCGAAGAATTCTTAAATTGATGTTAAAACGAAAATCAAGAATAACAAAATTGCGATGAATGCTTCGTTTTTTATTTAAAAATATTTTAATATTCACGTGAGTAGGTATTTTCATGTGAATATTTCAATATTCAAAATTGGAAAATTAAGAATAACAAAATTTCAATGGAGGCTTTATTATAAATATCTAGATATTCACGTACTTTAGATGTTTCTTATATGTATATTTAAACATTTATAATTAAAAAAAAAACGAAGATTTAATCACAATTTTATTGCTTATGATTTCTTAATTTTTCATCTGTATGTGTAATCATTCTTTAAATCTTCTCCCACCTATTGCCAAATATTAATATAATATATGTAGTATATAAAATTTATATGTATGTGTTGTGCATACATATGTATATAATATATACAGACATATATAAATTAATATATTTTTATACAATAAATCTTGCATATTATGTAGAAAAATTAGAAATAGTTATTTAACGGCTTCGCTGATTTTCAATTTTTATTTTATATAATTGTAACATAAATATATAATTATTTAATTCATATGAATTTAATAATACTACAAGCTATAAGACAAATACAATATTTATATATATATTAATTACATCAAGCAAAGAGCATTTAATACTGTATACACTTCAATATAAATCAGTTGTAGATATATTTACAAATAAAAATTTGCCTAAATCTTATAGAATAAGTGTTAATCACTGAATTGAAGGTTAGAATTCTTTTCTGAGATCTAAAAATAGATCTCAACTCAACAAACATATTTTTAGGTCGTGGTGTTCTCCAGATCTCTTATACGCAGTATGGATTAATCTGACAGGAACTTTTATCAAGATATAATAACGTGTTCATTGTGAAAACAAAGTTTTAATTTAAATAGCAAAAGTGCAAGTACATACATTACGATACATACATTAACATTTTTCTAATGGCTGTACTAGATAAGATAGTACATACATATCACTCTAACTTAATCTGTTAAACCAAGTAAGAATAAGCAATACGAATGCAAAAAAACCTATAGATCATTTTAAATTCCATTTCTTATAATACAATACATATTTCTTTATAGTTTCACAATTCAACAATTTAACAGTGAAAGAAATTTAATTATTTATTTCCAGATGCAACTTATAAAAAGCAAAAATAATACAAAGTGCACAATACATATTACATTAACGCAAAAAAATATAAGTACTTGGATTGCTTTTTCAATTTTTTATATTAATCAAATAATCTGTTTAAACAAAGAGTGCAAAAATGACGCGCAACACCACAGATAATTTTCTCAAAGAGGCTGTCATCCAGATTGGTGCTGGAGGATCAGCAGGTTTTATAGAAGTTTGTATAATGCACCCAATGGATCTCGTCAAAACACGTTTTCAGCTCCAAGTGAAGACAACAAAATCAGATCCATTATATTATACAGGTATTTTGTGTATCAATACATTTATAGTATTATTATGCATTAACAATATTAACATTATTATAGGAATTCGTGACTGCATGACTAAAATGTATAAGACTGAAGGACTACCAGCATTTTGGAAAGGAATTTTACCTCCTATACTTGTAGAAACTCCCAAACGTGCAGTTAAAGTAAATACATATTGCTTAATGCATAAAAGAAAAATCTGCGCATTACTTAAATTTATATTTACAAAAATTATTTTTATTTTTATTTATAAAAACTTTATCCTTTTTTTAGTTTTTTACATTTGAACAATATAAACAGTTTTTCTTATTTGGCGCTAGTGCACCCACTCCATTGGTAATTACTCTAATATGATTATTATAACGATCTGTTGATTATTTATAAGATAAAAAAAAAGTATTATTGCAGACATTCTCATGTGCTGGTTTCTTCGCTGGTGTTACTGAGGCTATATTAGTTAATCCTTTTGAAATGGTCAAAGTGAAACTACAATCTAATCGAAAGCATATCAAAGAAAGCCCATCGACATTTGCAGTGACGAAAGAAATAATTTCTAAATATGGTTTTGGATTGAATGGTCTAAATAAAGGGCTTTCAGCCACTATAATGAGAAACGCGGTCTTTAATTCATTTTATTTTGGTTTTTATCATTCTGTTAAAGGATATATATCAGTCAGAAAAGAACCTTGGTTGGAATTTTTAAGTAAAGTAATTGTTCAGCTTTGTGTAACAAGACAAGTATTCAAAGTTATACGCGATTCTCAGTTTGTAATAAAACTTACTGAAAATTTTCCAGGTTGCTATAGGATTTGTGTCAGGTACTGTTGCATCTTGTTTAAACATACCATTTGATGTTGCTAAAAGTCGCATTCAAGGTTCACAAGATGGTACACAATACAAAGGAACGCTGAACACCATGCACATTATTTACAAGAGAGAAGGGTATTTATATACATTTTTTACTTACCAATATTATTGTACTCGGGCTTGAGATCACTCATTTAGGTAACTGTCATTTTAGATTTAGAGCCTTGTATAAAGGCTTAGTGCCAAAGGTGTTGAGATTAGGTCCAGGTGGTGCCATTATGCTCGTGGTATATGACTACATGCATGTATTTCTTACAAAAAAGTTGATAAACTAATACACTGCATTTCAAGAAGCTGTGAGATAACTATAAGAACTTTTCAAATTGCATTTGATATTTACATATATTTATACATTATTGTGTATGTATATATAATGTATATTTTTTACCAGTAAAAATAAAGTAAAGATTTATGTAATTTTATAAAAATATAATTTATTACATATTTTAAATAAATGAACTTTTAACAATTTTACATGATCTTTCTTTCCCTTCGCTTTCAGACTTAAATTTTTATTTATATATACTAACGTATTGCAGTGTATAAAAAAAAAGAATTAATCATCTAAAACAGTATCTAACCATTTTTCTAAATCAATAGGCTTATTTGGAACATTCTTCGATTTTGTTTTGGAATCTGCAACAAATCATTCATAAATATCTATGACATAAATCCTTCATATTTATTAGATTGCAGAAAATTAGTCTGATTGCAAATTGCACATTTACAATTGTTTTTTCTGAAATGGAAATTTAACCTCATAGTTTTCAAAATAAAATATCCCGAAAATAAAACTACATTAAATGAAACGATAAAATACTGTTTTAATGTTAAGATCTTACCAGTATTATGAGACATAGATAATGGGATTCCTATCACAGACTGTGGGATTCCTATTACAGTGCTTTGGACAGGTTCTTTTAGGGATAACAAAAAATCTAGATCTTTCTCTAAGTCATCAATATTGTCTTCTGGTTTTACATTCGTCACGAAATTCACAGTCTTCGATTGATCGGTCTTCATGTTCTCCTTGGTCTCAACTTTGGTATCCGATAAACTCGATGCATTTAGATCATTTAAAAGCACATTATAAGCTGCTTTGCCTCTCTCAGCATCATTAAAGATACTTGTCAATTGATCACTCTAAAATTAATACAAATTATTGAATTAATCATTCCTTTGAGATATATTATCATAATTTGAGTCAAACTTTACACACTCTACGTTCGTTAGATCTGTTCTTTTTATAGTTAAACTTTTTGTAGTGTATAATTTTTGCACTTAAAGTAAAATAGATATCTATAACTGCTTTCCTTTTAAGAAACGTAGTCGACACAAATGTCATTCTTAATACTCAATGAATAACAAGGATAAAACATGTTGATTATGTCTCCTAACAGAAAAGCAGCCACAACTCGATAGAAACGTTTTCCTTCCTTAGTATTCAATGATTAACAAAGATAAAATGAAACTTGTGTCAACCGCGTCTCTCAAAAGAAAATATCAAACGTAAAAGTAAAAGCGAAAAATTTTTGCAGTTCAGTGTAGTAATAGAGAATAAATAAATTTCACGAGTATCTTTTGTATGTCAAATATCTCTTAAGTACTTACTACAAAGTACTTGTCAGCTACATCAATATACTTGTTGAATGGAACGCAGTCGATCGCGGCTGACAGCGTTTTCAGGTTCAAAGTGAAGAATTCCGAATATTGTGACGAGTCAACGGTCCAACCTTTCTCTGACTTGAAGACGAAATGCCCACCTTTTGAGAGCGGCGCGTTTATGAGGATGCCGAAGTCCTTGCCTTCCACCACATTCTCATCCGTCGGCGATTCCGCGTGGTCGGCGATGGATGAGGAAGATTGCTGCGATTTGCTTTTCTTCTTCGCCCTTCGCATCTTTGAGAATTCGTCTAAATTCGTCCTACCCTATTCGCGCGAAATAGTAAATCCGCTCTGCCGGTACGTTCTACGCTTTGCGTTTATGTTTAGAAATCAAACGCGCATGTACATACTACGTGCCCGTAAACAGACGATAGATCGATCGACGTTCGACTCTCGATCTCGATGATTCACTCTCGATATTTATCTCTCAAATACGAATTTGAAAATAGAAATGTATAATTCTTGCGAATAAGGTCAGATTAATTTACGTTTCTACCAATGTAGAGTAACTTTACCCTCTGTTCAATTGACACTAATTTTCACTTTTCGCCTTTCTGTTTTTAGGGAAATAAATTACATACCTTCCGATACCTTCTTTTTAACAGAATTTTTTGGTTTATCTTTAAAACTGTAGATGACTCTTGAAGAAATTCGACTAAAAAGAACTATTTTCACATGAATATTTCAATTCCTCAATAGGAAAACGTAATGTAGAAATTAACTTGCGGTATTTTTTACTGCAGTTTTTCGGAAATAATAGATACTCCCATATTTATCTTTTATCGCTATTTAAATATATATATATATTTTTTTGTTTAAGTAAGATTTGCAGGAGACAAAAAAATATATTACTGCAAAGATTTACTTTCCTAATCTATTATTATACATATTTTTTAAATTTTATGTTTCATTGGTTCATGATTTATTAAACTTGATCACAATTTTCAAACTGTAAATCAATTAGTAAAAATATGAATTCCACATAGTTCTATATTTATAAAATACTTTTGACCCGTATTTGACCAGTATAAATCAAGAATTCTCCATGTAGACTAAGAATCTATTTATTATAATTTGTAAAACCACATTTATAGGCACAAGTTTATTGGGTTCATAAACATGAGAGATATACTAGAGACATGCTCTATATATATAGACATGGAAGTTAAAATTTAGATAAACTTGGAAAAATAATAATTGTAAAATTTCACATAAATTTAATTTGGTATTTAGTAAAGTGTAAATATTGATAGCTTGCCTTTCAATTATTGATTTTTTCCCCAATCGTAATAATCACGTTTATTTGAATCAATCTCTAGAGATATTTATTAGCCATAATGGACTCATTGAACGATCGCGATCGACAGTTTTTAGTTTCAGAATGTGAAGAACTGAATTACGACAACCAACGAATTCGAGTGCCAACGAATGCAACCATCGCTGTAAATACAAAGTTCTGTAGAAATAAATGGCGACCCATGGGAATTGGAAAATCCAAAAGGCGAATTCTTTGCTGGAAGCTTTTATTGGCATTAAATTTCAGATAAAGTCCCGACAAATATACTTCTATTACATACTACAAATTTGAGACCTAAAAGTTTGCAAAGGCAATAATAACACGCAGGGTATTGGAAAGAATCAATCGATCCGCAACATTACTTTTACCCTAAAGTAAAAAGCGACTCGTGTATTACGCACCAAACTTCGCAATGTAAAAAAAACCACAAAAAAGAGAGGGACCAAAGTTGAGTGTGGCAGAAACAACATTTATTGATAATTGCTGCGATGAAGTTCTATTAATTATCAGTAGATAGGTAAATTCATAATAATATGAGGTCTTCTTGAAGGAAACCGAGGTCTCAGGATGGTGGAGGGAGAGGATGTGATAAAGGAAGTATGCGAACTTTTATCTTTATTTTTACGCATGCATATATAGAGGTTTTTGTATATAAGCATATTATATATATGCAGTTCTCTAGAGCGAATAAAATGGCGTGTGGCAACCAAACCAACTGATAAAGAATATGATCGGTATAAAGGTCTGGGAGCACCTTACGCTCGCACCCTATTCTACGAAAGATTTTCGATGAACTTCTTCAATATTTTCGGAAACACTTTCGACCCCCAACCAAATAACCTGTGTCCCCGGTCGGGGGTTTGACGATCAACTCGATTCTGTCTTCGGGCTTGCAT